TTCTGTGTTAGTGACAGGTTTCATGCATACACTCAGCTATTAAAGCATTAGTGTTTCTTTGATTTCTTAATCATTAACAACTTTAGTTTTTATTGCCCATGGAGTTGCAAGCTGTTAAAATGATCATTTGCTCTTAATAATTTTAAAAACCAAGAGCTATTTCTTACTTTGATGCAATGGTCTCTCCCAAGAGAATACACAGGAAAACTAAGAATCTTCTTTGGGCAAAGTTAATTGAAAAATATTGAATTTGTAAAATAAGTAGGGGTAAAAAGAAGGTAAAACTCATATACTAAAAAGCTCAGAGAGTTCAGTTTTTTAAAAGAAGATTCAACATAGAGATTTTGTTTTTCAATAGAAAGCATGCTGCTTTTCATAATTTAATGTTTTTGTTTTTATTGTGAAAATACTGTACAGAGGGCTTACAATTACATGGGCAAGACAATGAGTACATTTCTTATCAAGCATTGTAACCTCCTCCTTTGTTTCCCCTTCCCATTCCTTTCCATCCTCCCCCCCGACCCTCGACCCCCACCCAATCCTCCCCACTCACCCGACCCCCGCACCAAAGTTGTAAAGTTCGTTTTTGACATAACGACTTGTACATCTCATTGTTGCAATGGGTCCACCTGTATCCCTATTTAAACCATTTGTTTTTCCCCTTCCCCTCCACAAATTATACCAACATCAAATACAGTGAAAGCAGGGGTTATACTGTGGGGGAGGTACATACAAAGCAACAAAGAAGTTAGAAACAATCGCATGAAAGAAAAAAAACATCTGAATACATATCTTAGGGTTCATTTCCCTAACATCACCTTATCTGACCTTTTCTGCTTGACTCAAACATATACTAGATATTACAAATAAGGGAAACCATGGGACCTATGTTTCTTTGGGCCTGGCTTACTTCACTTAATATAATTTTTTCCAAATCTTTCCATTTCCTAACAAATGGGGCAATGCCATTCTTTCTGATGGAGGCATAGAATTCCATTGTGTATATATACCATATTTTCTTGATCCATTCATCTACTGAGGGGCATCTGGGTTGGTAATTTATTGTTTTTGTTATTATGAAGAGTATGGAGAAGCAGGAAAGGTAAAAATTACATTTCAATGCTAAGAAGTCAGTTGTAATTCAACTAGAATTAATATAGACTTTTCATCTTAGGTCACTAAAGTATTTAAAAATGTGAAATTATTGATTTACACTTCACCTTTCTAAAATCATTTACATTTTATTCATAATAAATACTCAAATATTTACGGAGCTTATTTCATATAAAGATCAGTTGATGGTATGATCAAACGAAACAGGTTATCTTGAGCATTCATCTATTGAAAGCTTTGTATTGCACAGTCCAAATATTTACTGGCCAAAGTTGAAAAAAAAAAGGGTGACTTAATTTTTGAGTAAAGACTGTCCTCCAATTTTGTTGAATATATTTCTACAACATTAGCCAAGGGGATCTGTACTGATAAAAGAAGGTTTTATAAACTAAGACTGTGAAATCTACTGAAGAAATTACATCTTAAAATGTATAATACAGTTTAAAGCTCTATTACAGATTTTGGTGTGTAGATCTAAGGAGAGAATGGGTATTTGAATCTTAGGAAATGTTACCTATATCTACATGCATTGATGTTTCAAAATGAACACTAGATTTTTTATTACTTTTGTCCAAGAAGAATGAGGAGTCACAAGTATTGGTTTAGGCTATATTTAATCTAATTATTCTTAACTCCTTTTTAAATGCTCTTCTGATCTGGGAAAACTTTATCCTCTGAATGTGATGAAGGTTCGTATGTTTTCCTTAGACACTTTTTAAAAGGATGAACAGCCTTTCTTAGTCTAGTATGTGTAACTTCTGGCAATTATAATCTAAGCAATGATCCAATGCCAGACAATACACTGAGTTTATACCATTATGTGATTTATTACTTAAAGTAGAGACATCAAGTTAGCACTTCTAGAAGCTCTTTCATACAGACAGTAACCTTTTTGCTAATGAGCTGTGTTCCTGCCCTTCCTTGTATGAAAAAATCCTTCCAGACTGCTCCTATTCCTTTCTTCTTGGAAGCACAATATAAGTTCTAGCTTATAGAGGTTCTGTTTTTAAGCAGGTCGGTATACACATAGTGCATCTGCCTTTTATTTAATCATTATCCACCTTGATACCTTACTCCTAAGGTTATTGAAAACACTTGTTTTCTAGTTCTGAGCATATGTTTTTGGCCAATTTTGTTTATCTGTATGTAAGACTTTTTTACACGGATCTGTAGTTTCTATAAAGTTTATCAATTTGTCCTCTCATTTCTCTCAACATTGGTTTTAATGCATTTTCTGTCTCCCACATTCTAATTAATATTCCCACTCAATAGTATGCAGCATAGTTATAAATTAATTTTAATTCATTGTGATTTGGGTTGCATATTAAAAATACATCTCCTTCCTTTAGAAACTTTCACTGTCCATAATAATAACCACCATTTAAAAAATGAAAAATAACAATAACCACCATTGTTGTTTTCCTCAAGAAGTGAATAATTTTGCTTTTAGTCTACAGGCTTGCTGAGTACTGTATAGGTAGATTAATTTATCCATCCTGTGAAAACTTATAAAAAGAATGTATGTCATCTTTTAATTAAAGTCCCTTTACCCTTACTATTCATACCTGTTTTACAAAACATTGTATAGGGCAAATGTGTATGATAAAGCTCAATGGGCCAAGTTATAACTGTATCATAATCCTTTATGATACAGTTAATATATGTTTTTGTCTTCTCCAAATAAATAACTCAAATTCCTTAAGCTACTTTTAAAAAAGGTCCACGAATTCAAGCTACATTAACTTTAAGAAACAGTTTTATGCTATTTTAATCATGATATAAAATTTAATAGCTAAAAAAAAGTTAAATGAAGTCTAATTAAAATTTGAATGAGGCCTGTGTATGTGGCTTAAGTGTCTACATGGAAAATCCAAGCACTGAAAACAACAACAAACAAAACAAACAAATAAATCAGTGAAGATAGAAACTCCCTAAGTAAAATAGGAAAAAAAAAATTATTCGAGCCTGCTAGCACAGAATGGTTAGGAAACTAATTTTCCCCACAAGATTCTTGCCACACAGTTTCTTTGATTCTCTTAAGATAATTGTGTAAAATGTACGAAAAGATCAGAAAAACATTCAGTTCTTCATAAATGACACTTTAAGCACATTACCATTCAAATTCTTCCATTCCCTGTATCTGGGTGTGTCTCAATTGAAAAGAATTTTCTAGAAGGCTTTTGCATTATAGAAAAGTGGGCTGGATTTCTTTTATACAGTTAGAAAATAGCAACAATATTTTGTTGTTGCGGAAGTTCTCACTAAAATCACTGCCATTAAGAAGAAACGTGTTGTGCCTTTTCTCCCCTTCGTGCTCTGACTTCATTCTTGCTTTTACAAATAGTTTGTGAGATATTGTCATGTAAAAAATAATTGCAGATGTCATTATGAAAAATTGCAAAGTGCAAGTATTTTCAGTATATCCTGTTCACATATTGTGGATATTGGTAGTCATAATTGCACATTAATGACATTAATTATTTGCACGTTTATTAGTAAAGGCATTAACATAAAACTCAGATGTCTGAATGAGGAGAATAATAAGTTCTTTTGTTCAGAAATACAATTGGAAATAAGAAAAAGATGTAAGGAAGCATATTGATGTAAATGAATTTATGTAAATTTATTTGTAATTAATTCATTATGTAAAATTTATGTAAAAGTGTAATCTTAGTGTTCATTTTACATTTTATTCTGATCTATCATCATTATCATCATCATCACCATCCTCCTCCTCCTCCTCCTCCTCATCATCATCATCTTTAGTTTTTGCTTGTCTTGCCATTTGAACTCTGGGTCTGGGCCGTGTCCCTGTAGTTTTGTGCCCAAAACTAGTGCTCTACCACTTGAGCCACAGCTCCACTTCTGGTTTTTTTGGTAGTTAATTGGAGATAATAATCTCAGGGGCTTTACCACCTGGCTGGCATCAAATTGCAATCCTCAGATATCAGCCTCCTGAGTAGCTAGGATTATAGGTGTGAGCCACTGGCACCTGGCTTTATTTCTCAATTTTTGTACAGGAAGAAAATAAGCCCAATCTATTCGAAAGAAAAATTTTAATTGCTGCCTACTTCTTTATGTGTGCTTCCCCTAGGAAACCTTCAGGTTCTTTTGTTGTTTGTATGCATTACTTGTCTTTCAAAGATTCTGTTCTTGCCCTTGTGCTCCTTTTCTTTTTCATAGAGCATGGAAAGTTTATTGAACCATGAAACTAGGAGCTAAAGATAAATGTGTACCTTCTGATGACTTGGGTACTTTCTTTTTAATTCTGTCCCAGGTTTCTAAATAGATTGTCGTTTGTATATTGCTGCAAGCTGACATTTATGGACTACCATATTTACAGATGTGAATAAGAACTTTGGGAGATGAATGTATTGATTCCTAAGGGACCTATGAGATATGGAAAAATATTATGATAAGCTTGTAAACTGATCATATATTAGAGAGAGTAATTAACTGAAAGCTCTTCATAACTATTTAGGTGTCAGCAAATACTCCTTGATCATAGTACTAATTAAAACTCCAATGTATTCAAAATAGTTTAACCTTGCTCCATTGGCCACTAAAAGTCATTATTAAATGCATATTAAATTGTAAACATGGACATCTTTGCTACTGCTGCTCCGATAAATACCTCATAATTCTCATTCTTAGGTAAACTTTTGGAATGCCACAAATGAGTTTTCTTTCTGTTGCCCCTCCTACTTTTCCTTTTTACAACTGAAAATCTTTGAAAGACTGAAATTCTAGGATTGTCATGAGACATTAAAGAAGACAGACATTAAGTTAATTCCTCAGTGGAGGTTGGGGATTAATACAAATCAAGGAATAATTTTGTGTGTGTGTGTGTGTGTGTGTGTGTGTGTTTTCCCCATCAATATTTTTAGGTACAAGCCTATGCAGAAGGTGGATGGGGTTGCAGATGGCTTCACAGGAAGTGGTCAGCAGACAGGCACATCTGTTGAGCAAACCGTCATTGCCCAAAGTCAGCATCATCAACAGTTTCTAGGTATGTTAAGATATAATACATATTAGTTGTCATTAGGATTTTGAAGAAAGCAAATGGTAATGTTTCTTCAAGTGCACTACCGTTTACAGATTTTAAATACATGGAACATTTTTTTTGTGCTGAAACTATGCACATTATATCCTAATTCTAGTTCATCTCTATTTCCTCACTTCTTAGTGCTTATTTTTGAAGTATCTTAAACGAGGTAATATTTGGAAATGCATATAATTTACTGCTATGGCAGTGGTCTCCAGACGTGATATTAATTGGCTTTTATGATGAACATGTAGTTGTGTTTAGTTGAGATGGTAAATTCAAGTCTCAAAAATATTTCTCATTTGTGCTGTACAAAGTTACATACATAAAACTATCAAAGTAGAAAAATACTGTAAACTTTCATAAAAAGTAAGTTATCTCTTTTAATTGATTACAGAGCTTCTTTTTGTAATTTTGTCTATGGTATACATGTTTCTTGTTATTGGAAATGTTAGGAAACTGCCTGTTTCTGTCATATAGCCAAAAGGGCAAAAGTGGGAACTTATTTTTTTCTATGGATTAGTATGCTGTTTCCACTCAATGGGTCAAGATGAGTTAATACCCCTACAAAGAGTTATATACTTGTACATACTTGCCAACAAAGACAACTAAAATAGACACTTGCTACTGAAGTTAAGCAGCATTTACTAAAATCCTTGAGTATATTCCTGTGGGTTCCCAAGCTTTCATCAATAATGTTATTTTTTATTCTAAGCATATTATTTTTAAAAATATTGAAGACATATTCTGTCTGGCCTCTTGTGAAAACTAGAAATACTGTTGTGCAGGTTTAGATGCCACATTTGGTTTTGAATTTGAGAAAAAGGCACTAAAGTGTATTCTCTTAATTTTCCAAAGCTAATGAGAAAGAACAGAAAGTAACTTCTCTATATATTACAGCTTCGAAAGTGACTTATATATTACAGCTTCATCGTAGTAGGGCTAACGGGTGTGCCAGGGCTCTGTGGACAGCAAGTGTCACAGTCATTTGAAAGTGGAAGCTTAATGGGAAAGCATGTTGATACAGGCCTGTCAAGCTCAAAAAACCCTGTGCCACAGCAGTTAATACTATCTGCATGATATGAGAGATAATTTAATGATAATATTAATGCTAAGTTTAATGTTACTTTCCTAGTTTCCTTTGTATTTATTGTGTAATTGCTTCAGTTTATGATTATATGAAAAGTATGAACACACATTAGTTTAAAACTACATTCATTTTTTTATGTAGTTTAAGTACCAGAAAATAAAAAAAAATACCTAAATGTAATACTGGCAAGTTTGAGATTGTTGTAACCTGTGCTAGGTTGTTTCTAGTTTAATTGTAGAGAAAATTTAGTTTCTACCAATTTTTAAGTGTATTCTCTCTACAATCATGTTTTGTTCCAATGATATTACTGAGTTTTGCTTGCAAAATATTAAATTTGAAAAGTCCTTGCTCTTTGGCCCTCTGATTTCTGAAAAACAATTTTTTTCCTCTTCAGTCTTCTGAAATTCTCCCTCACTAATCTTTAATTGACACTATCCACAGTAGTTGATTTTCTGTTGTGTTGTCATGGTAACAGATGCATCACGAGCACTTCCAGAGTTTGGAGAAGTTGAAATCTCTTCTCTGCCAGATGGTACTACCTTTGAGGATATCAAGTCACTACAGAGTCTTTATCGAGAGCACTGTGAGGTAAGTCTTTTCAAACATCGTACAACACATGCTAAGTTTTGCCAGACAGCTTGTTAAAACAGATTGCAAACTTTTTCCTAGAGGACAGATGAAGTCAACACTAATTCTTTTGAACATTTCTTTGAGCGTTAATAAACTCATTTTTCTTCTTTCTTGTCTCAGAGTGGAGAGGTGAGGATTGCAGGAAAGTGAGAATACATTTTATTCTCCATTTCTTAAGCCTATCCTAATCTGAATCCTTTGATGCAGCATTTCCACTTCTAGGTATTTATCCTAAAAAAATACTTACATATGGGTGACAAGACAAAAGTACAGGGAACTTGTTGCATTATTTTTAATGCAAAATATTGGACTTAACTTCAATATTTAACAGGGAACTGGGTAAATTAAATCTGGTACAACTTATAGAGTATTATAGTCAGAGAACACACAATTCTAAATGTGCTAAAAAATGGAGCAACTCCAGGATTTAGTGTTATAGGAAAACTCAAAATGTAGAGCAGGGTGTGTGGTACATGATCATTTGAGTGGTAAAGAATCTCTCCAGAAGGAAGAGCAAGAAATATTAATGATAGTTGACTCGTTGATGCACTCAGGAGAACAATGTTTACTCAAGACCTGTACTTGATAGACAAATACTCTGACACTGAGTCATGCACCCAGCCCTCTTTTTCACTGATTATTTTTGTTATTATTATTATTAATTTTGAGATGGGATCTTATTTCTTGCCCAAATACAAACTGGGACCACAATATATCTATTTTAGGCTTTCCATCATTGCTGGGATGACAGGTACTGCGCCTTTATATCCATCTTCCCTCCATTGAGATACACTCTTACTGACCTTTTCTGCTCAGGCTTGCCTCAAACTATAATCCTCCCTCTCTCACCCTCTCAAGTAGCTAGATTTACAGGGATGCCCACTAGTGCCCAGCTGAGACTCTATTTTACACCACAAAAGCATATTCCTATTGAGAATAATGTCTACTGTGTTTAGCTTTTGTTTTCAGAGACACAATAAGGCTCCAGCTTTGTTGGGTTCATTTACTCATTCAGTAAGGCTTCCCTTGATGTTGTGACCCCCTCCTCCTATTCTCCTTCCTGTGGCAGAATCAGCAATATTGCCTGGAAGGTATGCTTTCTCCATGCCAGAGTATTAGTGCTCCCAAGTCTGGTAGAAAAGGATAGGGGGCTGAGAAGGTGGCTCAGTGGTAGAGTGCTTCCCTTGCATGCATGAGGCACTGGGTTTGATTCCACAACACCATATAAGCAGAAAAAGCCGGAAGTGGTGTTTTGGCTCAAGTGGTAGAGTGCTAGCCTTGAGCTGAAGAGCTCAAGGACAGCGCCCAAGCCCAGAGTTCAGGCCCCATGACCGACAAAATAAAAGAGAGAGAGAGAGAGAGAGAGAGAGAGAGAGAAGAAAGAAAGAAAGAAAGAAAGAAAGAAAGAAAGAAAGAAAGAAAGAAAGAAAGAAAGAAAGAAAGAAAGAAAGGAAAGAAGGAAAGAAAAAGGAAGGAAGGAAGGAAGATAGGAAGAAAAGGACAATGGATTAGACAGTTTTCTTAAGTGCCTCTCCTTTTGGAAGAGGATTTTATTTATAATTTAAGTACCTTAATTCCAAGGATATTGTGATCTGCCTAGAAGTTAAAGATTTATTCTTTGGATTTCCAGGGCCATCCTTACTGCCGACAATACTGTATGCACTGAGGAATTTCACCTCATAAAATGGGTAGATTTTTTTCCCCCATTCTAGAAATAAAAATGGCTTGAATGAATCAATGGCTTGAATGAATATTAAGGATGCTAAGTTATTAACAATCAAGGGAACATTCTTTCCTTATTAGCATAACCTAGGCAAAAGTGTGCTTTAACATGCCTACCTGTTCCAAGCATTTCTTGGCATGATGAAGGCCATTTGCTGTTTATTTCCCATTGAGTTCTGTACTTTCCCCAATATTAAAGGATTTCTGAGTCATATATATATATATATATATATATATATATATATATATATATGGAAGGCTATGATCTGTCATTACTTTCAATAAAAATTTGTGTACAAAGATTTTTCATTTGTATTCTTATGAGCTCTGCATAAGCACACCAGTTTATCCAACTATAATTTGGGCTTTTTAAAGCTATTTTTACTTATTCAGAAAGTATGTTTTAGTTTGAGTATTTACGTTGCTAAAAATTATACAGTAAGATTATCCTAAGTAATGGACTCAAGATTAAAATAGTCTTTAGATTATAAAATTTTCATAAACATTCCACTATGCAAACTGACAAGGACATACACAATAATTGGAGTAGTAGATGGCAATCTATAAAATGACAATCCTTATTTAAAAGTTACCAGTTTCTGCCATCTTTCATGAGGTAGATTGGCCTATCTGGAGAAGAAGATTCAAATTACATTTTTTTCCTGTAAAACTTTCAAATTTTTGAAATACAGCTGCCTGCATCTTATATCCAATCCTGTAATCATTTTCCCTATGCAAAGACATACAATTTATTTTGCTTTATATTTGTGTATATATTTTAGTGTGAACATGGTTAGTAGACAGACAAATTATTCTATGACTTAATCACTTGAAAACTTCCTCAAATAGGTGGGTGATAATGTTAATTTGCAGTTTTACTGAATTTGAGCAGCACTGAAATTCTTGCCTTATTTTACTTCACATATCATACACTGTTATGCATCCTTTACTTGTTTGGAAGTCTCATAAACTATCAACTCTATTATTAAATACCACCAGTTCATGACTTTACAATCCCAGTTTTCAGACGGCTAACGCAGGAGGATTTCAAATTTGAGTTCAGCCCCACGGCTCTGGGCTGCATAGCTAACCCTTGAAAACCAAAGATATGGAAAAGTAAAGGGGGAAAAAAGAGAAAATGCCACCATTTTTTGTTTTTTTTTTAAGGAGACGTACAGTTCTCTATATAAGTTCGTACATATCTTTTTTCTTTTTCTTTTAATGTTTGTAATCTTATAGCAATCTCAGGTGGTATATAAAGTCTTAAAAGTCACATTTTAGAAATATCTCTTAGAAAATAATTGAACTACAATTAAGGAAGCAGCTATAATAATTTGCTTCCAAGGAAAATATTTCTACTTGAAATGGAGACATCTATGTTCACCTTATTTTTGATTTTGTGACTTTGAATGTTGGTAAGGAGAATAGTAATTAATTTAAACTAGCTTTTGAGCTGCCTGCAACATTCCCTACTATTTCTTAGAAAGTACCTTCCAAAAAGTTTTGTCTAGTATCTGAATTAAGCTTATCTCAGACTCAGGACCAGATCTATACTTGTGGCACAAACTAGAAATATGAAGTTATGGTTCTCATTACCTAAAGTACTCACTGGAATTCTAGATTGTCCTGGGTTTGTTTCTGCACCCTGTGAATTTTGTAAACTTTTTGTTTAGTTGGTTGGTTGTTGGGTAATTTTTTTATTGTTGTTGTTGTTGGTTGTGGGGCATGAACTCTGGGCCAGGTCCTGGGCCTGGGCGCAGTCCCTGAGCTTTTCAGCTCAAAGCTAGAGCTCTACTCCTTTTAGCCACAGCACCACTTCCAATTTTCTGGAGCTTAATTGGAGATAAGAGTCTCACAAACTTTCCTGACCGGACTGACTTTGAACTGTGATCCTCAGATCACAGCCTCCTTAGTAGTTAGGATTATAGGAGTGAACCACCAGCACCCGGCAATTTGTAGATCTTGATGGAACTCTTTTTACCTGTCCTCTTACTTCTCAGTTTTTGATGCCATCAAGCATCTTATACTGACTACCTCTGTCTCTGAATGATCAGAATACTCTTTGATAATCAAGTCCACAGCCTTAGCAAGGTTAGCTCAGTCCTCTCTCAATCTGCCTCACAAGTACTTTGACACTCTTCAGACCTGTGCCCTTGGCCTGTCAGTTTCACCCAGCCCAAAGGAAAGTGATTCAGTCTTCTATGTCGCCTTCTTGCTGTGGTGTGAATAGAATGTCAACAGCTGTGAAGGCAGAAAGAAAGCAGTAGGTAACCAAAGAGAAGTATGGAATGGGACGGAAGAATAGGATGAAGATAGAGAAGAAAAGTGATACATAGAGTGTTAGAAATTGAAGATTTTTTTTAGGGTGTCATCTACCAAATGAAATTCACATTTCTTCGGTGCAGCACTTTCATGGATTTAATTAGTTTGAAACTTTTGGTATAAGCTCTCAATTTATATTTCTTAAATATAATTAAAAAGAAAGAAAGGAAGGTGAAAGTGAGAGGAGGAATGGAAACCATTGTGAGAAGAATAGACGTTAGCCTGCTTAATCTTTACAGAGTTGTTCTTTGTTCTTCCTTTTTCTATCCAGTCTCCACTTCCATTAGAAAATTTAGTTCCATTTTATTCATTTCGTTAGCTTATGATCCACAGGTGATTTTAATTACATGAAATTTCATCATCATTGGCTCCCATGACTTGTGCCCCTGGGGAATATTAGGAGGTGATACTGATCTGGCTTTCTTTTTTTTTAATGTTGATAACTTTTAACACAAAATGTCAAATAATCCTCGAATTTTCACATGGGAGCAATACAAATAAGTTAAAACTTACGTTCACAATTTAATGTTATGTATTACCATTTTGCAATATAAGCATATAAAAATATGAATGATTGATTCATTTTGAATCTTTTTCTTCCTGAATCATTGAGATGTTAAGTGTTACCAAGGAAATACTGAACAAAGCGCATAGTAGTTATTACAACACTTAGTTTGTTTTGGTTTGGTTTGCCTTTGGTAGTACTGAGGTTTGCTAGGTGAGTACTCTACTTGGGTCAAGCCTCCAGCCCACCTTCTGTGCTAAGTTTTACTTCCTACCGGAACCATGATTTCCCTGCTTAAGGTTTCTTTTTGTAAGAAGATCCGTCATCCTGCATACCATTGCATTCATTCTTTCTGTTGACATAGAATCCTGTAGATTTTTTTGCCCAGGCTACCCTAGAACAGCTACCCTCCCAAGCTCAGCTTCCCACAGAGATTTGAGGTGAAAGGCGCATGCCTATTACACTTAGCTAGAGATTGAGGAAGGGGTCTTATACACTTTTCTTTGTAATCTGGCCTAGATGTTCTCAGACTCTTAATAGCTAGGATTATAGGCATGAGCCAGAAAACATGTCTCTCTTTCTATGTTGAAGAGACAGTTTGTTATCATTAGAAATGGAAGTAATCAAATAAATTTTCATTATACTTTTACCAAATATTAACTTTATTCTATTTATAAGTCACTAAAATACAGTTTGGTATCATTTTAATATGTAAGCAATGAGAACAAAGCTTAGTTAGTTTTAGTTATTTTTTTACTATCAATCTGAAATGCAGTATATTGCAATTCTACATGGAAACAGTCTGGACATATTATTAAGTACTTTTCTATGTTTCTTACTGAGTTTTTAAAATGTAGGGGGTTTTTTGTTGCAACAAGAAAATGCTATGGGAGTTTTTGTTCCCGTTTGTTGCATGGGCAATCAGAAGTGTTTCCCCTGTTTTATTTTTTTCTACTTTCTCTAGGTATTCTAAAATAAATCCTTGCCAAAATTTTGAGAAAATACTGCATACAAATTATTATTTATCTTCAATATTTTATTACTAAGATATTGCGATGTCATGGTGTTGGCATGTTCACATGCACATGCTCGGAAAAATAGTAAATTTCCCTTTTTCTATGCTCTCATTGCAACATGCAAACAACACAGGCGAATTATTAGTCCATTCCTATCCTTTGTTTCTTACTAGGTCTTGCATACCCTTACGATGTATCACATTTTATAGTGCCCATGTTGTAGGACTCTGTAGACAAAAGTGACTAGGGTATAACAGAAGTATCAGGCAATTCTAGTAGAAGAGAAAGAACAAATAGCATGACTCATTGAGAAGGAAATATAAATGATCCATTAAGAAAGAACAGCTGGTGGTAAAGTAAGAGAATTAGGGAAAGTACAAGAAGTGTTATGATTTGACCATTTGTTTTTTAGGCAATATTGGATGTTGTTGTGAATCTTCAATTTAGCCTGATAGAAAAATTATGGCAAACATTCTGGCGCTATTCTCCCTCGACTCCAACTGATGGCACTACCATTACTGAATCAAGGTCAGAATCAATATACTTTTCCAATGGATTTTCATGGCTGAGTAGATGTCCTAGCTAGTACACTAGAGATATGTATACCAGTTGTGAACCTTACCTGATAACATTACTGTGAGGAGACTGATAACTTTGGCCATCCTAGACGTAAACCACAAACTGCTCTCTTGAGGTTTCAGTGTATATAAAGCTCCCACTTTATTGATTTGGGGGAGTACAGTCCAGCTATTTCACCTTCATGGAATGACTTATCATATCTGCCTTTTCAGACCATCAGAAAATAGAAATGTGCCTAAGCAGCTCTGGGGGAGTGTTTTATATATATATATATGTTTATATATATATACATATATATCCAGCCATGTGGCACCAGTGCAATGGTGGTGTAGTTCTAATCTCAATAATCTTTGATAAACTATTTTTAAAGTCCATTTTCTTTTTTATCCTCATTTGCCATCTATTCATTTGCTACATTTATTCACACCAGCAATCTGAGTGAAATAGAAAGTCGACTTCCGAAAGCAAAGCTGATAACTCTGTGCAAACATGAGTCTATCCTGAAATGGATGTGTAACTGTGACCATGGGATGTACCAGGCTTTGGTGGAGATTCTCATCCCCGACGTCCTTAGACCTATTCCTAGTAAGTTAAATGCAGACGACTATGGATGCTTTTGTTCTCATAATACCGCCCAGAAAAGTTTTGGGAAGTGACGGTGACAATCTGGAATGATCCTAACTTCATTTAAATTTTGTCAAATAGAACACACGCAACTTAGAATATTGTATGAGATCAGCCTAGAGGAAAAAAATATACATACATAGTAAAGTGAAGAAATGACCTGTATTCCAGTCTTCCAGTTTCTTTTTGAATAATAAAATATCCAACCTACATATCTGAGAGCCCCAATGAATTAATTGCAGGAACACTCCTAAGTTAGTCAACCATGAAAAAATTAACCAAACCCTAGGTCCTTTTCATCTATTCAGAAGTTCTATAATGCAGCCCACTTTTTGCATGGTTGCTTTTGATTTAAGAGGAATTTTTATTGGTTTCCAGTAGAGTTGGATTAATTTATGAAACCATTTACTTTGGCACCAATATCACGTTAAGAATGACAAATTCTGTTTCCATTAGCAGTAATGGTTTCCTGACATGTTGACAGAAAGGTCTAGATAACTATACAAATATTATATCCCTACTATGAAGCAAATGGGAATCGCATAGCTTAGATTTCCTTTTTAATTGATGGTGCTTTTAAAGCTACCTTCTAGCAAATAGAAATATCACTCTAAACTGCTACTGCAAATATTGTTAAAAAAAATAGTTGAAACTATCTGACACCCACATCTGTATGAATTCAGACTAACTAGTGAAATTAAGGAAACAGAATAGTTTTATTTTTGACATTAACACTAATAAAATAAAAATCAGCCTTTTACCTTGTGAAATTGACAAGTATATACTACAAATAGACTATTGACATAATTCTGCTAAATTATTCTAGAGAACATATAAATAGGGTTTAGTAGAAGAGGAAGAGGTTAATTAACATCTGTAAATTTATACCTTTTTTTTCCTAAATACAACTGATGACAGCGGAATTTATCATTTGTTATATATTCCCACTGCCTTAAGTATAGGCTTATACACATTTACATATGATTTTGATGAAAACAACATTTATGGAGCAATAAGTGAAAACAAAAGAATTCCTGCTGACATTGTCTTGAAACTAGAATTGCTAATGTGTTCCTCTTCTGTTGATCTGTACTAAGTTCCCTGACTAAATATTGATGAAAAATGATTTCATCATGGAAATTTTCTTTATGCAAATTCTCTACTGGTTTTATGTTCCCGAATCTGATTTTCCTTGTTACCCCTTGTTCCCTGTTCACACTGAGTGATCATCGCTAGAGATGTTTAAAAGGAGTTGCATAGGGTAACTCATTATCCTATGACATTTTGCCACCAATATGTGTCTTCTCATGAGACACAAGAAGAGATGTCAGCGAGGTCTTTTTTTGAGGCAAATCAACAGCATCAATATTCATTAAACAATTCTGAATTTTTTGGCTTTTGTATTGGCATCATAAAACTTTAACTTCTGAACCGTTAACTGTTTCCTTATTTTAAATGTATCAGTTTTCCTTGACTTTAAGTCTCAGAATTTGAAGTACAAAATACACTTGCTCTTTGTCTTTTGTAAATTTTAATTTGTAAAGCAGTGTATTTTGTCAGGTTATTTGTCTCTACATTCAGCAGAAAACTCAACAGTTTATATCTTTGAATTGCAAGGAAAATTGGAAACTTAATTCCCCACTCCACAATGAGGCTTACATAAAATACAGCATAAAATCAGTACAGATAGCTATCATTGGGCTGCATGCATTTTAATACTAATATTGAGCAGGTTGAGGCAAGTCAGCTGTGGAATCATTTTCAACTTCCAAACCATCCATTTACGAGTATTTAGAAGTTGTCAGAGTCGATCTGCACAATTTTTATCTTACATGAATGCCTAGAGAGAGAGAAAACTTAATTTTATTTTTTTAAATTGTATTTTCCTGTCTACTAGTACTTCACTCTACCAGTTTCTGTCCAGATGGGATTGCTTTTTTTAGCAAAAAAAAGTTTGCACATCACACTAATTTAAAGTCAGCTTGAAGTTACTATATTCTAAAATACATGTATCTGAAAGTGAAAAAAAATTAAGTGTGAAGTACGATATAAGAACTTAACTCATAATACCAAAAGGTACAATTAGGAATATAGTTAAATGTGGCCCAGAATATCATTTAGTGCAAAAAAAGTTAAAAACATTAATTAATTAATATGTATAATATATTCTTTTATTTTAAAAAATCGCCTTTGCATAATTTGTCTAGGTAGAACAAAGTCCATATTGACTTTTTCAATATTTAGTTTCTTGAGAGGTTTTCAAATTAAGTAATAATAGAAAAAATGGAATATATAGATTAGCAAATGGAATCTTGATCAAACTGTTACTGAGCTTCAAAAGTGTTAATTTTTTTCACTCTTTTTCATTTCCATCCATGCCTGCGCTCCATGGTTCGAGTACATAGCACAACAGAAAGATATTTTCTTTCTTTTTTCTTTTATGGCTAATATGGGAAGTTTTGGAGACTTCAAAAGATTTGTTCTCAAGAAATTCTGATTCAGCATGTCCAATTTTCATGGCTAAGAGTTTACCTAAATGTTTTATTCTAATGATTATTAGACCATTTGAATCTTTTCTATCATTTATCCAGTTAACAAACTTAGCAGTAAAATTTATATCCTTTGCAAATAACATGAGTAAGCTAAATTACTTCTAAAACTTGTTTGGACAAAAGTTACAGAGAAGCATGTCAGACTCACTTGAGCACAGAAAGGAAAACAAATAATTTATCATTAATATTTTATTCTTGGGAGCAGTTGGCCAAAAAATTGTAGCTTCATTGTTTCTTATAATAGAGTATATATATATTTTTTTACATCTACCACATTGTAGTGAACCTACAGAGATGAATTCTATGCTGTGGGTGCTTCAAATACTTATTAACAAATATGTATGCAGCCATGGGCATGTAGCATGTAAAATACCAAGGACTGAGTTGTGAGCACTACCAATAAGCAGATTCCTTGCTGTAAAATAGTCACAGTTATCAGTAATAACTGAAGATACTTGCAAGCATGTTATGACCACCATACAGTGCTCTTCATGGGGCTTACCCCTGTTTTAGGTTTTAGCAAACGTGTGAAGATCATAAAATGGACCATGGTAGGACTAGTTGAGGAACATGGATGTGTGTGGCAACAGTTTCAGCACACTGATCGTTTATCACTAGCTACCAAGTAAAGTGGAAAACAGTGATTTAGATTTTTCCTGTTGAACAATTTTATTTTTTACTTCAACAAGAAAGATATACTTTGATTCACGGGCTCTAGTATAAGTAGCTACATGTGTGTGTGGGGGGGGGAACTATGCTATATTTCTTTTTAACTGAAGATATGAAACTAGATTAAGAAATCAAAGTGAAGAATTTATTTTAAAAAATGTTTAGCCTGTAAGCACAAAGCTATTAATGAGAAGAAAGTTATTCCAAAATAGAAAAATTCCTTAAGAATATTCACAACTGGTATATGTTGCTGTAAACAAAGCCAATTGTATATTTTTATTCCCAACAAAGTGTCATAAGTATCTGGAAAGAAAATAGCTTTAAAAGACCAAAGGTCCTTCACTCTCTGATGCTGTAAGACATTGGGAATAATAAAGTTTTGTAAATGAGAACACTCTAAATTCTCTTCTGCACTGTATAAGATATAGTTATGCGCATGTTTTCCCCTATTCAGGCATAAACATTAATGATCTTTGGTTTCTTTCTCTTTTTGCTCTCCTTTTATTGTTTATCATTTAGGTGCCTTGACCCAAGCCATTCGAAATTTTGCAAAAAGCCTTGAAGGTTGGCTTTCCAATGCCATGAACAATATTCCACAGAGAATGATACAAACCAAGGTATACTTCATAGTTTGCTTCTTTTTTCCATTTAAAAAGACATTTCTTCAAGTCAACAATTATCGCATAATAGCTCAGTGTATGTTAGCAATGTAGCATATTATTTACACACACACACACACACACACACACACACACATGCAATTTCACCCTCAATAAACAGCTACTGTTGGGATAGAGATCAAAGTATCTGAGTTTAAATCTTACCACTTTTATAACCTTGAGCCAGCTATAGTCTTTTTAAAGGATAATATGTGTTTAATAAGCTGATTTTGACAATTAAACATGATAATATATATGAGATATTAACCCTATATTTGGCATGTAGCATGTACTAGATTATTATAAGCCACAAAGTGGAAAACTACATGAAATATTGTTTTTTGAGGATATGCGAGCATGTCTCCAAGTTGCATATAGTCCTTAAGCATCTCACTATCAGTGTAGATCATTCTTTGCCTATGAAACTATTCTATTACTGAACAAGCTGACTTGCCTGCTACTTGCTTCTTATATATACATAAAAAGTTTGCAGATCTATAGGAATATTTGTAATAGCAAATATAGTAGTTTTAACATTTTTAAAAGGTTAGAAGCACTAGATCTACTGTGTGTATAACAGTGTTGTGTGTGTATAATACCGTCTTTTTTTCATTGTTTTGATATATTTCAACATAAACTATACTTTTCAGGATCCCAGAAAGAAACAAATGCTATATTCCAATGGAAGGCATTGTTGAAGACAGTTTATTTCCAAAGGTGTGAACAGAGTTTAAAAAAAAAAAAAGGAGGAGGAATGATTAAGCATCTAAGGGCTAACAATAATGGGAAATCCTTAACATCTCTTAAGTCTAAAGGGTTAAAAGCAAATCCATGCCATTAGGAATCCTGAATCCTCTCTTTTGCTTACAGCCTCCCCAGGACCATGATAGCATTTAGAAAAGAAAAATTGTGTGTGTGTGTGTGTGTGTGTGTGTGTGTGTGTGTGTGTGTGTGTGTGTAAAAGTGAAGACTAGAGTTTTGGAAAATAATAGTTTGAACACTATTTCTTCATATCCTCCAGCTCCTAGCAGTGGTTATAATTGTCCAACCCCCTTGGGAGATAGAGGGTAAAGGAGAGGGTTAATAGATTCCATTCTGGTTAGTCTCTTGGATAGGGCACAAAGGAGGATGAAAAGAGGCAAGTGGAAATTTCATGATTAGCCCATTCAAAAAGAAATTAAAATTTCTGTATGTTTATCTCTGATAAGTTTATTACCCATCAAAAACTACGAATTCTCTAGTTTTACCCTAAAATCATCCAACTTGTTGTAAATCTCTAGGTCTAAAAGGTCTAAAAGTTATTTTTTTTTATCCAGTTAAAAACTATGACATAATTTGCTTTCTCAAATAAGAACAAATATTTTTATTTTCCTAATTCCTAACTGTCTTAAAAAGAATTAAAACAAGAAATAAGTACAAGCCACAATGTTGAAAACGAACTTTACAACTTCGGGCATGGGGCAAGGGGGGAGGGGGTGAGTCAGAGTTGGGGAGGTGGCAAGGAAGGGATGGTAGGGGAAACACAAAGGAGGGGGTAACAGTGCTCCATAGGAAATAGACTCATTGCCTTACTCATCTTTACAATAAAAAAGATATATTAAAAGAAATGAATGCTAATTTATTTTGTATTTGCCTAGACAAAGTCTTTGTGTGTGTGTGTTTGTGGAGATACTTTCACTACTGGCTTAATTAATGTTATACTCTGATGTCAAATAATGTGTGAGTTTCAATCTTGACCTCAGTATGCTCAGAAAGAAAGTAATCCCTGATTAAAGAGATTTAAGTTCCAAAATTTTCAAGTAACTCTCTTACCAAACCAATGTGAAATAAGAGCTAAAGAGAAGCACTTTAAGTTTGACAAGGAAGAGAAGATTATTACACAGTGGTTTCATTTACTGGAAGAAAAATACTTCCCTGTTGACTTGGTTTTCTCCACAGGTTGCCGCTGTAAGTGCCTTTGCCCAGACTCTGCGAAGATACACATCGCTCAATCACCTGGCCCAGGCAGCCCGAGCAGTGCTTCAGAACACTTCCCAGATCAACCAGATGCTCAATGACCTCAACCGTGTTGACTTCGCCAATGTCCAGGTACTCTGTCCAATGTCATTACTTTGTTGTTGTAAACTGAGGAACTAGAGTGAACTCAAGGCCTCACATTTCACTGCTTGAGCCGCTCCTTCACCCTCCACTGTATCTTTTGGGAGTGTGATTAAAGCCGACTGAGATACACTCAAAGCAGGCAACATAATAGGTCACCAGTTTACTGCATAATTAAAGGATAATGAAGAGCACAGTCGCTGAAGTGAGGCAGGAAATTACGCTTTTATTTAATATGTGTTGAATCTTGGAGAACTTGCTTATTAACTACTCTGTGCTATCTTTTCCACCTGCTAACAGATTATTATTTACAGATTTAATAATTTGTACCATATCAAGCACAGAGATATTTTCGTTATTATAGCAACCCATCTTGAAAGAACTAAGAAAGTTTATCATACATCCCTGGGAAATGTTTGTTCCCTTGAAAAGAATTGGGTATAGTAATTTTGGCTACTTTAGCAGATCAAGTGAAAAACAATACTTTGTAAACTGGTGGGTAAATTATTCTTGTACTTTAAAGTACACTTTAAAAATAGCTAATTTAAGAATATTACTTTAGCATTCTATAAACATAGAGTTACCATATGACTGAGCAATTCAACTCTCTTAAATATACCTAAGAGAAATGGAAACATCCAGTTCGACATACTTGTAACTCTTATCCAAAATGCTTGGGACTAGAAATGTTTCTTACTTTGGAGTTCTTGAGGTTTTTGGTATTAAATAGACTTTTTCTATGATTATCCCTAACACCCAAATCTGAAATGTCCTAAAACCTAAAACTTTTGCTCAAAAGTTTTAGTGATTTGAAGCATTTCAGATTTTGGATTTTCAGATTAAAGATGTTCAACCTGTACTTAGATGTGTGTTTTATTGTTGTTGGTGGTGGTTGTGGGGCTTCAGCTCTTCCGTTCAAAGACAGTGCTCTACCTCTTGAGCCACAGAGCCACTTCTGGTTTTCTGGTGGATAATTGGCTTTTTTTTTTTTTTTTTTTGCTGTGGGGGGAGAGTAATTTATTGGATTACAGGTGTGAGCCAGCAGCACCCAGCTACTTAGCTGTTTTATAACATCATTATTCAAATTAGCAGTGGAAACAACCTAAGATATCCATCAACTGTTTTGATAGCTGGTGTTATCTACACAGTACTCTGTTATTGGACAATGAAAAGAAATAAAGCTTTAGATCATACTACAACCTTGGAAAATGCTAAGTGAAAGATGCTCACTACAAAGGATCACATGCTTCTCTTTATATGAAATTTTATATAGCTTATATGAAATTATATATAATATATTCATACATACATAGACAGAGACAGACAGACAGAAAGTAGATACTTAGTTTCCCAACACTGATTGCTTACAGAGCTTGGAGGCAGCACATATACAAAGTGTAGAATTTGTTTTAGGGAAAGGAAAAGTTCTCAGACTGATTTTTAATATAGAAATATTTTTTCAAAAAAACAAAAAACAAAAATAGTGCTAAAGCTTAAATACTTTGTAATTACACTCATAAAAATGTAAATTCCTTCCAATAAAGTCTATCACATGTTGCCACTATAGTCATTAAAATAGCATGAAAATTTTTAAAAAATAATTTTTTTCAGTTTATCATTTACTCATCCATCATCTATCTTATCTATCTTATCTATCTCTCTATCTATCTATGTCTACAAACACACCTATATATACATAAACAGTTACCAAAGCTTAGTCTGTACAAGAGCAAACTGTCACAGGTTTGGAAAGCCATCTATTTTAAGTATTTCAATTAATTACATGAACTAATTTACTGATAATACTGTTTATGTTGCCTTAAAATCTGCACTCTAATATGTATTTCAAATCCTCATTTTAAATGTTTTAAAGATAAAGAAATTTTGAATTCACACTAATAAGACCCCTTCTAGTTTCTAAAAGTAAATTAAGATCAGTAATAGAAAATATGTATAAGAATAACAATATTCAACAAGAAATGTACTCACTACCTTACGTGTGTAACTGGCCCCTCTGTACATCACCTTGACAAAAAAAAATTAAATTAAAAAAAAGAATGATTTGTAATGACCTCTGAGAAGGTCATTAATGTTTTATGAGTTGTAGTAGCAATGTTTTTATATGTGGATTTGTCTACAGTCCCATCAAATATGTATACTAATGAGCTCTTCTCTAGTAAACACTAACCTTGAAAATACCTTATAAATGGTCAGCTGTGTGTCTGCTCTTATTTAGCTACTCTCTACCCAGCAACCTAGTTTTCTCTTACTAAGTTTTATCAAGTTTTTCTGCACCTTTATGACAGTCATTAATGCTGAACCCTATAGGGTTTAGCATCTGCCCTCTTCAAACTTTTTCCTTTCTTCTTTGAATCATAATCACAGTGGCAAGTGTTTCATTTCACCCTACATTTACTTCTCAGAGGTGTGTTTGTTTTTATTTTATGGGCACTTTCCCCAAGCATTTTTTTTGCTCAGGGCTAGTGCTCTATCGCTTGAGCCACAGCTCCACTATAATGGGGAGTGTATTTTAGTTCTGCAAGATGAAAAGCTCTAGAGACATGTTGCATAACAAGGTACATGTAATTAACACCATTGAACTATATACACATGAATGTTAAGATGTTCATTGTATGTGTTTCCTATCATGAGAAAGAATGACCAGATTTGATGAAAGGATAAACTTTTCCAGTAACTTTCTTGATTCTTACAATTCCTTACTGTGGGCAATCTTGGACTCTTAACTTGATAAAATATTTCTGGGAATTATTTTACACCATAAGTAAACTATCTTAACTATATTCCTCTTATATAAATCAATCATAAAAATAAATTGGAAAGTGAGCAAAATATTGTTATAACATCACTAATTTTTGCTTGTAAAAGTTAAAACAGACAAACTTCTTATTGTATGGAACTACCTCTGTAAATATTAATGTATATAATGAAATAAAATTCACTCATTGAACAGAAAATATAGCTCCACATTTTCCAGCATAATTGGGTATCATTAAATTAGGCATAATATCTAAGAGAATGTATGATATGATCCTCTTAATTAAGATATATTTAAATATTATAAATTTCTAAGAGTTTAGCATATGTGTAGATATATTGTGAATATATAACAAAATATTCTAAATGATACATATGCATAATGTAACATGTGAAAATGTTATATTCATTGGTACACATTTTTATGAGAATGTGAAATGCTTAAAGGGTATTCGTATGCATATTTAGCTCTGTGCATATACTGTTACCATTTTAGCTATTAATATTTTGTTCCTTTTTCCATATCTCTGTGCTGAATTTTCTCCATAATCCTTTTTTATTTAAAATTTTTATGAGTGATATGTAAAACATGGAATAACTTATGATGTATAATTTATAATTTATGATTTATTAGATAAAATAAAGAAGAGGTTTCCCTGGGGAAATAAATTGACTTTGGGCATTTTGTTTGAAATGACCCTGAAAAAGGTAAAGTTTGTAGGAGCAAGAGATAGTCTAGAAAAATGAAGATCAGAAATTCGCCAAGTCAAAGTTACAAATTTGAAAAGAAGTTGTCCTATAAGAACATATAGAAGAAAAGCTATGGACATTATTTTCAGGAAAATGTAAACATATTCAGTGATTTGCATGTAGAGTTGAGAGTTTTTCTGGATGTTGCTTTCAAGAATCCCATCTTGAAAAGTTATCTGGACATAGTGAACCAAGTTTAAAAATTCTTGTTAAATTTCACTTATCTAATTTTATGCCCAGAGAAACTGAAACCTACAGAGATCAAATTTTTAGTTGCTTGAGGTCAGTTTGTTTTAGTTAAGAACTACAATAAGATTCATGTCTTCTGGTTGTCAGTCAAATATTATAATACCAAATAAAGACATTTTGGCCTTGAGAGAATAGATGTTCTTTCTTTTAATTTAAAAGTAAAACATAACATTGGAAAAAAAATCATGAAACTTACGGCTACCTCTAAGAAGTAACTTTCAAAGTTCCTATTTTCATTCCCAACCAGACCGAAAGGAAAACCTAGTTATCAAAACTTGGCCAGTAGCATGTTTATATTTATTCAGTTGTGTGAATTCATTTACATTTGTAGCTTAGCTTTGATAAACCTGTCTCTAGCCTGTAAACTTAAATGGCTTCTACACAGGGCCATTCACTCTTTGATTTTGGTTTCATCTTGAGGGATCCCATTTAGCCAATTGAATCTACTTTTTATTGTAAAGATACTGTACAGAGGGGTTACAGTTACATGAGTAAGGCAATGAGTCCGTTTCCTATCATGCATCTTGTCTGTGGGTTGGCACTAGCTGAAAAAGACAACGTGGTTGAACTCCTCCCTTGCTTTCTGTGGCCTCTCCTAGGAGCAAGCTTCCTGGGTGTGCCAGTGTGATGACAGCATGGTTCAGAGACTCGAGACAGATTTCAAAATGACCCTTCAGCAGCAGAGCACACTGGAGCAGTGGGCCGCGTGGCTGGACAACGTGATGATGCAAGCGCTGAAACCCTACGAAGGAAGGCCCAGCTTCCCCAAAGCTGCCAGGCAGTTCTTGCTAAAATGGTCTTTCTACAGGTATTCCCCTCACCTTCACACGCGCACGTGTGCGTGTGTGTGTGCACGTGTGAGCATGCACGTGTGTGCACGTGAGCCCACGTGAGCTTTAGGACCAAGAAGTGAGTGAGTTTAGAATTTGTGGAACCCCTGTTGTAACTCTCTCCAGCCATCTTAAAGATTCCAGCCTTGTATGAATGAATCGGGACTCTTTGGGAAAGCAACTCTCTGCTAGCAAAGAAAAAATTCTCTTGCTTGAACCCCCAGAAGTCTTCCAATGAGCATTTCTCAGATTCTAGTGTAGATGGTGTGTTCAGAAGCCCGCAGCAAAGAGATACAGTCCTTCCTTTTATTCAGGCCTTGCTGAGGCTTCTCTGTAAGATGTTAATATTGTTCTTTTGTTCTCTTCTGCATTGATCCTCAGAGCTGGTCCCCGGACCGGTAGCGTCACTGTCACTTGGACATATGTTACAAATGCAAATTGTTAGGCTCCTCCCCAACTGTACCTGAAGCAGACTCTATGAAGGAAGACTTGGCAATCTGTTTTTAAATCCTCTGGGTTCTTCTGATGCATCCCCAGAGGCAGCTAGTTAATTTCTTCATTTGGTCAGGTTACAATTGTTTTCAAACATGCTGCAAATCAGATATCAGAATTAATACTCCAACATTAAGCGGCACTCAGGATGTACTTAAGACCCACTGAATAAAAATGGTTAGAGGAATGCCTGTAATCAAGATTAGGAATTTGAAGTTTGGTTTCCTAAAGAGAAAAGAAAAAAAGATGACAACACAAACTCTTCTCAGTGATTCTGATGCATGGCCAATAATCTAGTAGACAGCAGCATAGCTTATTATGAATCACTTTTTGACTAAAATTCTATAGATAGAAATTTATATTTTTATAAGCATAGAAGCAACCCAGAAGGGAAATGGTTTTCTGATTATGTGACATATGATAGCAAAAATTGGGATGAGCTCTAGAGTAAAGTTCTCCTACGAGGATTGAAAGAGCATTTTTATGACCTGTGTTGGGGAACACTTGTGCCATATATATTATATATATATATATTATATATAATACATATATTATATAATATATATAACATATATAATATATATATTATATATAATACATATATTATATTTATAATATATGTATTATATATATATAATATATATATATACAGGATGAAATTATTTCATTAGATAAGTTATGTTTTTTTTTACCCTGACATTTGTTCTCATAATAGTTTATTAATTTACTCCTTCAGATAAAGCTAGCTCCTCTGACATGAGCCTAATGGCTATATCTACATAAGCAGTATGGGCAGCCCCTTATTTAGATCCGATGTAGTCGCAAGTCATACGCTAATTTGTTGAAAGTAATTACCATAAGATAATGCCTCTAGCTGACTGTGGATAATACTCCACAAAGGTGGTGAGTCTTTGGACTCAGTTATGAGGAGGTTAGTCTCTCGGTAAATATAATAAAAGCACTCTTGCTCAACTGATTTGGCCCAAATTCTCATTTTTTTTTAAACTGAAGTACTGGTGTCAATTCCATTGTCTGTTTTGAGTTAACAATTAAATTATCCCAAGTCCTCAAAACAGCTTTCTGTTATATAGCCTAGTAGTGTTTCACTTCTGTTTTATACCTTTAGCTCATGAGATTTGAGAAGTGCCTTATTAAGATGCTGACTCTGTGGCTTCGGTGAAGTCAGTGCCAGGTTTGGGTCTGGGTGTTCGTGAGAGACAAGTTGACAAGAAATGTTACATTTTCCCTCTCTTTAAGGGGGAGAGTTGAAAAGCATTATCACAATATTTTCAAAGGAGATCCTGTGCTAATACGATTCAAAATTCTAATCTGGGAATATTTCCTAAGAGGATTCCAGATACTTTATTTGCTCAGAAGCCAATACTTTAGTCATCATAATTTTTCCCAGAAAAAATAATATAAACAATGTATGCACCCCATGAATGACAGATGGAAGAAAAATAATGCTACTTGTCTTCTCTAAAACTTATGACCCAAGGCAAAATTCATCCATCCTCTGCATCAGAAAAAAAAAAACAAGCAGGTTTTCTTTTTTTCCTTCCCTTTCTATTGTTTTCTGTGGTGCCTTTATTTCTTCCTGTGAGACTTTCTTGCCCTATATTTAGTTGAGATGATTTCAAAAATACAGACCCTGAAGCCTTCACAGAGATCGGTTGCAGGTATCCTGAAAAGAGAGAAAATTACCTACTTGTATTTCTTGTTCTCTGCAGATGTACAAACCCAGTAGATCATCACTTGCCTGCCCTCTGTCCTCCCTGAGTTGGAGATAATTGCCTTGTGATTATTAGACACTATTATAGTTATTATTTTCATTTCAAAAAGACTTGAAGGCATACAGTTGAGGGCCACAGAGGAAAGGTACTTTCAAAACAGATGCATACCTCCTGCTGGTAGGCCAAGTCAATAGCTTAGAAATGTAAGTCCCTGTACTCTCCAAAGTGTTATTTATTGAGGCATAAGAACAGATTGAGTAATGGAAGCTATGTTCACAAATATCAGAAAAATAGGACTTGAGTACTTTTAAAATTTCTGGCATTTTAAATGCCAAAATTTGTAAATTTGTAAATGTCATTGTAAATATGGCAGTTACAGATACGGCTCTTTCATATTCTGAAATTAGATAGCTAATCTCTAATTTCTGAAAATCTGTGTACATATTTATGTGCACAGAACTGTAGGGGTAAAGTGGCAGAGAATCATGCGCTAAGAAGCTGTTGATAGATTGCTGAAAATGCAGTCTGTTTACAGAGTTCTTTTCTTCCTTAACCTTGCTTTGAATGCTAACATTCAAAGGTTAAGAGGAATGGTCCAGGGAGAGGGGGAACGGGAAAAATCAATCACTACTTTCTTGAGATAAAATAGGGAAGTTATATGGGCCTTTTTCAGCTGCTTGAGTGTTTTAGGTAACGGTGGAGAACATTCCCTCAGACTACCACAAAGGTTACCCAAACATTACTTCTGTTTTGTAGTGCTGCTGTTTAATCCCAGTCTTGTATATGCTAGGTGAGTACTCTGCCACTAAGCTACTTCTCCATCCTCAAATAGTCCTTTTATTTTTTAAAGGACAGAGTTCATGAGTGGGGATATATATAGCTCATTGGTAGAGCACTTGTCTAGTATGCTAGGATCTTATTTTGATCTCAGCACTATAAAAAAGTTAAAACCTTAATGAGATTCATTGTTTTCCTATCCTAACTTTAAATAGGACATGGGGCAGTATCTACAACAGGGCAATATCTAAGCCTTTTAATGCTCAAAGTGAATACTCTTTTTAATAAGTTTTTTATTGTGAAAATACTATATAGAGGGGTTACAGTTACATGAGTAAAGTAATGAGTACTTTTCTTATCAAGCATTGTTGCCTCCTCCTCTGTTTTTCCCAACCATCCCTTCTCTCCCACCTCTACAACTACACTCCCCCCACACCCCTCCACCTTCCCCCCTGCCCACCCCCCCTCCCTTCTCCCCCACCTAAATTGTAAAGTTTGTTTTCAACCTAGTGTCTTCTACATTTCATTGTTACAATGGGTCAACCCGTATCCCTATTTAAACATTTTGTTTTTTTCCTTCCCCTCCCCAAATTATACTGGCAAAAAAATACAGCGAAAACAGGTTATACCATGGGGGAGGAACATACAAAGCAAAAAAAAAAAAAAATCACATGGTTTTTAACCAGCTATACTCATTGCTCAGAGTTTACATGAGGGTCTCAGGTCTGGTCTCTCCTCTCCACTGGGGAAGAGTATGCAGAGAGATAAGCTGAGAATCATGTGTTAGGGCATGTATTGTAATTTCCACACCAAGAATTATAAAGGGTAAACATTCAAAGGTACCTGTCATCCACTATCAAATAATTAATGCTTATAACTGATTTTAGAAAGAGTTGAGTTCATGGTAACTTAGCAACATGAAAATCAGTGGAGTTTAAATCTGCAACATAGCTAAACAGGAGTCTAATGTGGACAATACGTTTCCAATTAAATTGTTAACTATTATTGAGTACTGTCATGTAGGGCAGAGACCCAACACAGAGAGACTGAAGTATAGATATAGCTCTGATAATACAATTCAAATGATTCTTTTTTAAAGACTACTATAATAATTTCATGTCAGGATTATTGGATCTTCAAAAACTAGACAATATGATTGAAAGCCAGAAGATTTATTTTTTTTCCAGTGGTATAACCTGGACACCTAAACTGGCTACTAATAGGTGGCATATACTGAACACAAAGGTAGACACCCTGAGCAAAAGGATGAATCACATCCCAGGTGAGAAGAAGTAGGTAAAACAAGTTTGCATTACACTACTGAGAATACACAATTGAAAACTGATTAGTTCTGAAATTTTCATTTAACATTTTCAGAGTACAGTGGACTACAGATAACCAAGAAAACCAAAATCTAAATGAGTTAAAGGAAATGGAATATTAGTCTTATTTGACCCTCAAGCTAAGCTTTAAGCCTTAAAAAAAACATAATGTAATCATAATCAGGAATGTATAATGGCAACCAGGCTTATGACATCAAATTTGTGGATTTCCTTTTTTATGTAATTCTTTACCCTTTTTGTAAATAGATCCTCAAAAATGAGAGGTCCTCTGACTAATATATAGTAATCTGTACTCTTCATCTCTTAAACAGAATAGAGACAACTTGTACTCTGTATGTTATAATTATTTATATTGAGTCATCTTCTGTTCATAAGTTAATTTCACATTCTTGAGCTCATCTTATTCTGAACATACATTAGATAAGACTAAAATCATTGATTTTTTTTTTTTGGCCAGTCCTGGGGCTTGAACTGAAGGCCTAGGCTCTGTCCCTGAGCCTGTCTGTGCTCAAGGCTAGCATTCTATCACTTGAGCAATAGTGCCACTTCCAGCCTTTTCTGAGTAGATTATTGCTGATGAGTCTCTCCAACTTTCCTGCCTGGGCTGGCTTCAAACTGCAGTCCTCAGATCTCAGCCTCATGAGTAGCTAGGATTACAGGTGTGAGCCACCAGTGCCCAGCTTGATTTCATATTTTTTAAGAAAATATGTAAGTCAAGGAAATTATTTATTTGAGATTAGCAATCAGTTACCACAAAGCCAGCGCCAGAGTCCATGGCTTTTGTATTTCATATAAATGGATGATTTGTCATTTCCAGAGTTGAGTTACAGAATTTGAGTATTTGTACATAGAATCTAAAGTATTTTAAAAAAACATAATAAAACTACAGTCTTAAATTTTTCCATTTTCTGGGTAGTTTACAATTGTACACTGCAAAACAAGGATTAAGAATATCAGGCTATATATTTATGAGTTTTTTTCTTCATGTTGAATATGTAATGAGAGTATCGTTATCATCATCATCATCATCTTTGGAAAATGATCATTCCATGACATTGATGAGAAAATACATATACATACACAAGCATGCATACATTATTTTTACTACTGATATTAAAAAGGTTTGTAATACATGAATAAGGTTAATAATCTGCACATCTTTAATAAAGCCAAGACTTTTTTTATTGATTTCTACTTTGAATATAATAGAGTTGTTAGCAACTATTATTATTTTTATATATGGATATTATACAAATTAAATGTTCACATTTTTCATGGATAATTTCTTAATTGCGCTTATAATATCTGCTTCTGATGGAAAATCACCTTAATTTAAATGAAAATGGGTAAGAAACTGGAATCAATAAATTTGTCTTCCTTTCTGGATCCCCTGTGAATACTCATCTGTATTCTAGGTAGCTGCCTCTCAGAACTCTGTGTGCTTTGTCTAGCATAAATACATACTTTTCCAAAGTGTATGCTAATGGCCTTTGTCATTTAGAAATTATAGGTTGTTAACTATCATGAATAAGATTTACATTTTTAGTTGCTTTTTTATTACACTGGTGATATGTTTTCAACCTTTCAAAATGGTCAATTCTGATCTATTCATGAGTTTAATACAACAGCAAATCTACCTATGTTAACATAATAGTCTTTCCTCTGGAAGACCTATATGGTTTAAGTTTCACTCTCTCACGTGATTACTTCTTTACTACCCTGTTTACATGTGTTGAGCCAACGGCTTTCCGTAATATTGAAAAGCCTATACTATTACTACTTCGACTTCCAGTGTAACTTCTTTTGAGGAAAAACAGGTTCTCACTAATATTGGCCGTATATGTCTTTTCTCTTGAAACAGCTCAATGGTTATTCGAGACTTAACCTTGCGCAGTGCTGCTAGCTTTGGCTCCTTCCACCTGATCCGTCTGCTCTATGATGAATACATGTTCTACTTAGTAGAACATCGTGTTGCTCAAGCAACAGGAGAGACACCCATAGCCGTCATGGGTGAGGTAAGAGAAAGTGAAAGAGCTATGACCTACTGGGTTTTAAAAAAGAACCTGATTTATACTTCATTAAAAGTGATTGATTGGGCTGGGAGGCTGGCTCAGTGGTAGAGTGCTTGCCTCACATGCATGAGGCCCTGGGTTCGATTCCTCAGCACCACATAAGCAGAAAAAGCCAGAAGTGGCTCTGTGGCTCAAGTGGTAGGGCACTAGCCTTGAGCTGAAGAGCTGAGGGACAGTGCCCAGGCCCAGAGTTCATCCCCCACGACCGACCAAAAAAAAAAAAAAGTGATTGATTGAAGCAATGATTTCTAACCAAGTGAGCCTAACCCAAGAGAGGCTTTGAAACCATTGGGGGGGGGGGGGGGGGGGTCCTTCAATCCCTATTTATGTTTTTGGAATCCAGAATTATAGATTGTATCATGTAAAATGTATGGAATGCTTCGTTCAGTGTCTGAACATCTATGTACAAGCAGAGCTTGAGAACCACTGGATTTAAAGCAAGAATTTAAAGAACCTGAGTAGTGGGGAATAAGAAAGATCAATTCTTCTAATAAGCCTAATATCTATAACAAAATTTAAAGATGCATATTGAACACTATTCCCCAGACATCAAAAATAAAATAAATGGTTAATTTTTAGGATGATGATGATTGTGATGATGATGATAACAGTGACAAATGACATTTTTTAGACATTGTCTAAAACTTTAGACATTACTGTATCTAAAATTGTCTGGACTTTTCTACAATGTCTAAATAATAATCAAAACACTTTATCCTCAACAAGTACCAAAACATAAAGCTCTGAAACTAAAACAAATGAGACTGGATTAAGGCAATGAGGAATATATGCAAATGCTAGAATGGCTTAGCATTGGGTCATTTTCTTATATTTGGTTGGGTGTACTTTATAGTTTACCAAACTAAACCAGGTCTGACCTACATCACAATTTACCCCCAAAGTAGTGACAATGACATGTTCATTTTTAAGCTATGTAAAGGTGCTTATTGAATTTTTTTAAGTGAAGACAAATATTATTGGATATTTGTATCAGTTTAAGAAACACAATAAAAGTATAAAATGTCATAACACTTTAATGACTGACTAAATACGCTGGTGAAAATAAATGCATGTCAAACGTATTTAGGATTCTAGTTGAAATATTCTATTTCTTAAAATCTCTTGCTGTTAAATGATATACATCTTTATACAATGCTCTCAAATGGTTGTTTAAACGATGCCAGATGGCTATATGTGAGATTAACCAAGAATCCCTGTAGCTTTAGGCGGAATTTCATGCGAGTAAAACAATCTGGATTTTCCTTAGGTTGGACTTCCCGTTATTACTTCTTTCTCTGGTTGTATAAATGTCTTCTCAGAAAAATGCCTTGGTGTGACATGTAAGATTTCTCAACTCTGGATTCAAGAATACTAAATTGACTTGCCTTGTACATTTTACATATTTGCCATCCACATTGGGTCTTCAGGGTCTGCTTTACTAGGATGAACAGGATGATGACAACAGTGATGGTTAATACTAGCACATGGCTAATCTTGATGCTTAGTTTTTGCTTTCCTTGTATTGCTGGGCAACAAAGGCAGGGACCATGAGCTATCGCGCAGCAGGAAGGCCTATCTGCCTCCCGCACTCCTACTGACAATACCAAGAAATCCCATGAACTATATGGCCAATACTGTCAGTTACTCACTGGCATTGTTTTTTCAACTCCGTGAAAATATATAAATGTCAAATTGTCAAATGAGGCAAAGTTAGCTTAATAAAATTTAACATAAAAAACTGACATAAAATACCTTCTGTAAGATCTAAGCATACTATATCTTTGATTTGTAATTTGCTCATTGTATTCTTACCCAGCTGGTAAGAAAAGTTTCTGAGCTCTCTTTGCTCTTCCATTATTCAGTACCAGTCCTTGTGAATAGTTTGGATTAGCTAATTTCCTAGAATTGATCTTATATCTCTTAGCTATCATAAACCTGTTGCCCTTGATTGTATTTTATTTAAAATTTCTTGATTTGGGAAAAATAAAGATACTCAAGAAAAGAAGCTATTTTCTCATGTTTCTCTCACATGTTAGATCCTAATTTTACTCTTTTCTTAATACCCATTGGTGTTCCAAAGTCCAGGTCCAGAGTGCCTGGGTTCACAGTGGGAGTAGCATCAGGCCAAAGGCAATTAAAATCCACACTACTCGCCATTACCCTCACTCTCAACAAGTGGTTTTGTTGTTGTTGTTTTTTAATTATCAGTAATAACAACCTCAAGAAAAGCGTTGTGACAGCTCATAATACCTTAAGTTAAACTTAATCTTTCTACTCAGCTTCTTAGCAGACATTCTAGATGCCTGAGCATCATCTTTGTATGTTTTTAACCAATTACTTTTATCTTATTTTTACATCCTTAATAGTGTAGTCAGTATCACCTCATGTAAAAGCAAATCTTATTGTGTTATACTTTACTTAAAACTGCTCAGAGGCTTCCTTTTCTGTTTAAGGAAGAAAATATCTTCCTCTGGTAGACGAGGGCTACCTCTCTGTTCAAACTGTTCCTCCTCATGCCCCTTCTGTGGCAAACCCAGAAGCCTTTCCTCCCTTCCTGTTCACCAAGATTATCCCATCGTTGGATTCTTGCATGAATTGTTCTTTCTATCCAGAACCTTCCCATCATCTCCCCTTGCCTATCATAATTCCTGCTTTATGTCTTAAATCTCACTTGTTCAGCAAGTCTCAGGCTACATTAAGTAGTCCTTGTCTCCCTGATTTGTATTTCTACTTTGCGTCCTAGAATTTATACAGTACTATTACATGGTTCTCAATGTGATTTCTATAACTGACAAATACTTGGAAATAATAGAGAACTTTGAGTTGAAAGAAGGGGATTTTCCTTCTAGTTCTGTTGTTTATTTATAATGACAAGGGAACCTATCATGTTCCTCTGTGTTGATTCCTAGAGTTCTCCAGTTAATTTACTTATGTATTTAACAAATATTTTTATGTAGGTAAGATGGGCCAAACGCTGTAATGATTTTAATATGGTAATAAACAAAACAAACCTTTGACCCTGCTTTCAAGAAGCTTATATTTTAATGGCATAACTACAAACACTAAAATAAAAAAAATTAAGGGATATAGAGATATGAAAAACAAGGTGCAGGGAAAAGATATTTGAGGTGAGAAATATAAGGCAAAAGGAATTGACTCTAAAAAGACAGAGTCTAGAAGAAAGGTGTGGAGACTACCAAAGGCCGAAAGAAATGTTCACAAAAGTAATAACCTGAGAAAGGAGAAAGCATTTGCAATTCAGTTTTCACTAGAGATAATATCACCATAAGTTTTCTTGTGAAATGTTAAACTGCCACTATATTAATACTTCCTGGAAAGTTATTTAAGGCATTTGTAGTTTTGAAGGGGCAGATATTTTCCCCCTAAATGATAGAGGACAGAATTTATTTACTGTTAGAATTTATGTAATTTTTCAAATTTTATTTAAATATTTTAAATGTGCCTATAGGCATTCTGGCAATGGTGAAAATTTAAGAGTAAGAATAAAATAAACAAGTTGCATCTGTTTGCACACCTGTTAAGAATTTTTAAATCATAGTCATTCTGTCCACGAAAAATAGAGCAGAAAAATTTCTTTTTATTTGAATTTTATGGCTGTTTTGGATCTGTTTGGAAGTCTATGAGATGTATGCTTTATTTTCTAATGTTTAGGTCATTAATATATTCACTGAACCTAGAAAATTTTGGTTGATTCATAAAATATTTTTCGTGACAAGCATTTCTATATTTAATATTTTGTATATTTAACACAATTATACATTGTAAGTATTAAATTGTATACTCATAAATATCAGAATAACATAAGTATAAATTTTTATTATAGTTATACTCATTTAATATTATATATAAACCATTTCTATGGTCAACTTTTCAAATAGAAGCCAGAAGATACTCTGTTTTAAGTTGTGAATAGCAATATAAAACAATATTTCAGTAGTATTTTTAGGGAAATATTTTCAAATGTGTACAATTTGCCATCTAAAGGCAAATGTCTCTCTGTACAGTATGTTCACAAATAAAATAAAATTAAATTAAAAAAGGCAAATGTCTTAAGCTCATCAGAGTTGATGTATACAAAATAAAGGGAAAAAATCTTTAAAATAAAACCTGGAGCAATATTAACTCAACAGGCAAGCTTTTCAACAAAAGTTTACTGGAAGCACGTGATTGATTCATACAAATAAACACGGATACTTAAAGTAAAATCAATCCAGAATAAAGCATTGACTGAGTTTAATTACAGTACAACTACAGAAAATTCTAAAAATGTATCTCTAGAACAATAGGCTTATTTTGAGGAATATTTTTAAAAGAATAGATTGTATTTTAAATTGGTAATTTGCAAAAACAAAAAACCACCTAGAAATCTTAGCATAGCAGTGGTACCTGCCTGTAATCCCAGCATTCGGGAGGCTGAAGCAGGAGACTCTGGAGGAGTAAAGCAGCCAGGCTTACATGGTAATACCCTATCTCAAAACCAAGTAACAGAACACTACCTTAGAACAGTAGGAGCTCAGAAAAGTGTAGAGACTAGTTGTCAAATGTTAGTTGTTAGTTTTACTGGGGACTGAATTTAGGACCTTTTTGAATCATGCCTCCAGGCCTAAAATTTATATTGTTACTTATAGTGAAACTTATTAGTATTTATTAATGTTCTCCTTACTAAGGTCAGACCTTGTTACAATCATCATGCTGTGTTTTACATTCTCAATGAAGATTGGCCACAGCCTTGCTAAAGATAAATGAGTATGCCCTTTTAACCAGTGAGGAAATGTAGTTGAAAGCAGCCCCAAATCAAAACTAGCAAATGACAAAACTAAATTTACTAGGTAGGCCTGTTTCACTCCAGAACCAAAAAGACCATCCAAATTGAAATTTCTTCTTCTTTTTTTTTAAGTTATTTGTATCCAGTTTCAGGACAC